AAGATGGCTTATGATTTTTTTTCTCATCGAAAGACTTCATATAGCAGAAGATGACCACCGGAGGACCACCAGGGGGCCCACGAGGTAGGGGCGCGCCTAGGGGGTAGGGTGCGCCCCCCACCCTCATGGGCAGGGTGTGCCCCCCCTGGTGAATTTCTTCCGCTGAGTATTTTTTATATATTCTGAAAACGTCTTCCATGAAGTTTCAGGACTTTTGGAATTGTGCATAATAGGTCTCTAATATTTGCTCCTTTTCCAGACCAGAATCCCAGCTGCTGGCATTCTCCCTCTTTATGTAAACCTTGTAAAATAAGAGAAAATAGGCATAAGTATTGTGACATAATGTGTCATAACAGCCCACAATGCAATAAATTTCGATATAAAAGCATGATGCAAAATGGACGTATCAGCTACATGCCTCCCCCTCCAACACCCTCGTCGCCCTCCCCCTGCGCGCTGCATCCCCAACGATCGTCTACACACGTCGCAGCGCGCGCATCTCCAAGGTGGAGCCTCCCAACCGCATGACCATGCTGGAAAAGGCTACCATCCGTAAGAAGCTCAAGCTCGAGGGCAAGCTCGTGCCATCTAAGTCCAAGCTTTTGCTGACGGCCGCAGAGCTCATGGAACTCGCTGCTGAGGGCGCTCCATCGTTGCCTCGCAAAGATGTTGTTCAGCTGGCTTCTGCGTGTGGTGTAGTCTCCGAGATCGACCTCAACCTGGTGCCCGCAGGTGACGATGTGTGACGGCCTCCTCAACCTTGCACCACGGCGGTGCTCGATCCTACTGGCCTTGTATTGCACCTACGGCTCCACCACCATTTTTAGCTGTAGTTTAGTTTTCAGGGCGCGTCGACCTCGCCTCCCCTATGTATCTGTCCTTTTTCTGCACTTGTACCGCCGCCTCTGTTATGTTTTCGACTGCCCCATCATCATGTGTGTGTAACCCAGGCTATGTTGCCTCTGTTGTCCCTTATGTTTCCAATGATTAAGAACCTTTTGATTATCTCGTGGAACGTCCGTGGTCTTGGACGTCACAAAAAATGCACCGACGTCAAATCTGCCATCTCCTCCTCCCCCTGCTCGGTTCTTTGTCTCCAAGAAACCAAGCTGCAGGAAATTCCTCATTTCAAAGCCATTTCCTTTCTGCCGCCACACCTTAGAAATTTCCACTCTATTCCCTCCATCGGTGCTTCCGGAGGTATAGATATTTCTTGGGACGATGATCCCCTACTATGCTCACGAACCCTTCGCGGCCCCTACTCCTTAACTTGCTGGTTCGAAGCAAGGGCGGATGAACTCATTTTTGCTATCACAAATGTTTACGGTCCATGCGATGCTTCTGCCAAACCCTCCTTCTTGCAGTCCTTGATGGACTTGTTACCAGATATCTCTTGTCATTGGGCCATCATTGGCGACTTCAATCTCACCCTAAGGCCGGCGGATAAATCGTCTCCAAATTTTAACATACATGAGGCAAACCTTTTTGCCTCCACAATCAACTCTCTCCAGCTTCAGGATCTTCCGCTCCTAGACAGGAGATTCACTTGGTCAAATCAGCAGGACGCGCCCGTCCTTGTGCGTCTCGATCGGGCACCTGCTAACGTGGCTTGGGCGTCAAAATTTCCGGACACCTCGCTCTCCTCGGTGACCAGAACCACCTCCGACCACATCCCCATTCTTTTAACAGCGGCAACCTCTATCCCTAAATCCTCTGTGTTTCGCCTAGATCGCTCCCTGCTAGCCATTCCCCAATTCAAAGACAAGGTTGCTGTTAACTGGAACAGCGTGGGTACCAGGCACCTGCACCTTGGATCTGCTGGTCTCATCTCCCTTAAGATCAAGCGCACGAGAAATATGGCCAAAAAATGGGTTTCCGGTCGTAGATCGCCCAAGATTCTAGCACTAAACTGCCATACTACTATTAATCTCATGGATGAGCTAGAAGAAGCTAGGCCGCTTTCCTCGATCGAAGCTCAACTTAGGACGGCAGTCAAACTATCCCTCCACCGTCACAATGCGGTCATCGCTGCCTACTGGAGGCAGTGGGCAAAGATCAAAGACTGTGTCCTTGGGGACGAAAACTCAGCATACTTACATATTTGCGCTTCGGTACGCCACCGCAAAAACCAGATTAGGACCCTCTCTAGCAATGGCTCAACCTTTACTGCTCATTCCGACAAAGAGGCTGTCCTCCTCAATTTGTTCAAAAATCTCGTGGGGATTCAACCTGCCGTATCCACATCTATTGACCTCTCCAATCTCTTGCTGCCAAACTCTCTTACCACAACCCAGGCCTTAGATATCTCACGGCCGTTCACCATGGACGAGCCCAAGGACGCCCTCTGGGCCATGAATGATAACGCTAGCTCGGGTCTAGACGGGCTTGGCCCGGCTTTTTATAAGGCTAACTGGGACCTCGTTAAGTCAGATCTATTCAATTTGCTCACCGATTTCCATTCGGGCAGGGTAGATCTTAAGCGTATTAATCAAGCTCACATTGTGCTGCTTCCCAAAAAGGCCGATGCGGTTGGCCCTGAGAACTACCGACTGGTCTCTCTGCAAAATTGCTCCATCAAACTTGCGTCTAAATGTCTATCTATTTGGGCCCAGCCCCTGATCGATCACCTCATTCACTATGACCAGACTGGGTTTATCAAGGGTCGCGGGATTGCCTCCAATTTCCTCCATGCTGCAGATATCGTTCAAACTTGTTTCAAACGGAAATGTCCGGCTATTATCCTCAAATTAGACTTCCACAAAGCTTTTGATTCAGTTTCATGGACAGCCTTGTCCCTGATTATGCGCGCCAAAGGGTTCCCACCTCTCTGGTGCTCCTGGATTGAAAACTTGAACCGTACGACCAGCTCTTCTGTGCTTTTAAATGGGAAACCTGGACCCTGGTTTCAATGCCGCTGAGGTTTTAGACAGGGGGACTCCCTTTCCCCTTATCTCTTTATCATTGTCACAGATGTCCTTAAGAGACTTATCATCCAGGCTGCTGCCAACGAGCAACTCTCTCACCCTCTCAACGCTTCTCTCCCTTGCACGGTCCTTCAATATGCCGACGACACTCTTATCGTCCTCCCGCCAGACGCGGCTCAGCTTCACACCCTCAAACATATCCTGACACAGTTCTCTGAGGCAACGGGGCTCACCATTAATTTTCAAAAAAGCACCTTTGCCCCCATTCACGTAGACCACGACCTTTCCACGGAACTCGCAGCAATTTTTGGCTGTCCGGTAGCCTCCTTCCCCCAATCTTACTTGGGACTGCCACTCTCGACCCATAAACTAAACTTTGCAAACTTCTTCTTCATCACCGACAAGGTTGACCGACGTTTGGCTGGGTGGAGAGGCCTCTTGTTGTCTCTTGCTGGCAGGGTTGTTCTTCTCCGGGCGGTCCTTCGCGCTCTCCCGATCTATGCTATGAGCGTTCTTCGACTTCCAGTGGGCACCCTGCAAGAGATTGACAAACGGTGTCGTGCTTTCTTCTGGGCCGGGCAAGATTCTGTTACGGGTGGCCAATGCAAAGTTGCTTGGGACCTGGTCTGCGCCCCCTTCTCTCATGGAGGACTGGGCTTCACGAACTTAGACCATATGAACCAATGTCTCCTCCTCCACCACTTATCAAAAATTCATACCTCCGAGTCAACCCAGGACTCTCCTTACCTCCGCTCCAAATATGGCTGGTCTCCCTCCAATGATCTTGGGATATCCCATTCTTCGCACTCCCCAATTTGGCGTGATATTTTAAAAGGGCTCGATTTCTTCTGCTCCATTACTAAGGTTCACCTTGGGAACGGTTCAACGACGTCTTTCTGGTCTGACCTTTGGATTCCCCACTCCACCACCACCCTCGCCCAGCAATTCCCTGCCCTCTTCTCCCACTCCACCAGACCGCACACCTCGGTGGCTAGGGTTTTGGCTTCGAACGACCTAACCTTAGACCTCGCTCCTTGATTGTCGCATGCGGCAACTTGCGATCTGATTACCTTGCATGCTACCTTGGCTAATGTTAACTTGAATTTGCAGGCTGCTGACAGAAGAATTATGAGAGACGGAGGGAAACCTTTCACCAATAAGCTTGCATACAAAGCAGTGTGGAAGGAACGTCCTAGGGACCAGCTGGCACCGGCGATTTGGAGGAATTATGCCCCGAACAAGTGCCGCATCTTCATTTGGCTTGCTCACAAGGACCGCCTTTTCACCAATGAACGCCGCTTCCACCGGGGCATTGCTACTATCGACACATGCCCATTCTGTAACCACTGTGAATTTATCACTCACCTGCTGTTCCAATGCCACCTGCTAGCACCCATTTGGGAAGAACTAAACAGTCTATGTCAAGGTACTCCTCAAGATCTACTTCACGCCTGGGAGGGGGATATAAACAACAAGTGTCAGTCAACTGTCCTGATGGCCGTGCTTTGGAATATCTTGAAAAGACGGAATGCCAAGGTCTTCAGGAATGACCATCAAAGTCTGCACCTGGTGGCTCGCTCAGCCGCAGAAGACCTTCACCTCTGGTCTCATCGCTGCTCCAACCCGGCCAACCAGATTTTGCTTCGCGACTGGGGCTCCATGTTGTTTCACCTAGCTGCGAGATTATAGTTTAAGCTCTCACTGTAACCTTCCCCCGTTTCCCTCCCCACCCGCCTGTATCTCTGGTTCTCTATGTAATTTTGTCTGATCATTTTGGTAATAAAGGTTCAGGCAGGCGTAAGCCCGCCGTTGACGCGTCAAAAAAAATACAAGGGGAAATCAGATTAGATTACAAGGTAACTGTTGTGCAAGGTGATGATTTTATTCCGGCCGTATGTTTTTCCCAAGCTGCCAAACGTATGATTTAGGTCCGCAGTTTAATCAGGTAGAGAAATACACAGATAGAGGATAGAATTGAAACAATGGCTTGAACTAGGAAGAATGTTAGCATTGCTATGCTAAAATGAAATCACACCGAAATCCTCCCCTGGGACTGGGAGTACCCAAAAGGCCAGATCATGCAGCTCTGTAGGCTCTCCCGGACGGCCGCAGCTCGCCGCCGTTGAGGAAGCCGGAGTACCAGCGGGCAGAGCTCCTCACGTATCTTGGCCTCTCCTTGATGTTCATGTCGACGCCGCACAGACCAAAGCGTGAACGGTAGCCAAACAGCAACTCAAACACGTCGAGGAAAGACCACACGAAGTATCCCCGCGCGTCCGATCCGTTCCTGCAACCGGTACACAGCCCTCTCTCCATATCAGAAGCTACTGGCGTCCAGAACTCCAGATTAGCTAGGAATCACTTGATTGTAATTGAATTCCTTGTCTTGGACCCCAAAAGTTCCGAATGAATTTGTGCTAGTACATTATTTTTCTGAAACAGGATAAATAAACACGATAATATATGTAGGAAGATGAACCGAACCTTATGGACAGATAGAGAACTTCCAGATAATCTTGCAGGAACTCTGATCTGTTGTCGTCCTCGTATACGATCTTTCCTGAGATTCTGGGCGCGTCTGCGTAGCCTGAATCATTAAAAAAAATCTGTGTCGTTGATTTTGTTTTCCAGAGGTCAATATGTTTTGCTTAATATTTACAGTGTCAGCATCAGTGAGTAGGTTTTTTTTAGCTTACCGTTTTCATGGATCAAGATTGGAGGATTTCCGTACTTGAGTTTCAGGTGGTCCAGTAGCTTCCCTAGAGCCCAAGGAGCATACTCAAGACGTCCCTGCATGTTATATCAATAAAAATTTACACACCTTATGATTCAGAAAAAAAAAAGGAAGAAAACTTCACAGATGTATATATACATACCGCTTGCATATCTTCGAATGGATCTGAATCCAGGCAAGAAAATGTTGCATGTTAGTTGCATTAATGATGATGCTAGGCTCAAGTTCATTTGTGGAACATAGTTAGATCGGAACGGCTAACAATCAATTTACTTACTTGCAATGGCAGATGCGTCAGCATAGTAGTCTCTCTGCTCCAGATTGAAAGTGCTGTCGTGGGCTCGCGTGCGAACAACGAGGTAGTGATTGATGCCGATGAAGTCGAATGCTCCACGCAAATTCTTAGACTGCTCCACTGTTAAATACGGCAGCCGTGCTCCTGCCCTGCTCCTCGTCAGAGTAGGGTAGTCCCCATACACCAAAGGATGCATAAACCTGTCCAGAGAAGGCCTGAGTTGGTGCTGCTTGCATCCACAGAGTTATCAGCTAAATTCAATCGAAACAAAAGCCAAGTACTCACCATCCAATGTGGAAGTCGTTCATCCTCGTTGCAGCCGCTGCATCCTGCGATGAGTTGGTAGCAGGCTCATGCCACCAGCCCAAGAGAGTGATCCCTATCTGTCCTCTTTGAGTTGCCTATACAGTGAGCATTGCATTGCATGGTCAGGTTAGGAAGATATTGATAAATGATGGTTTTGATATGGGACTTACCTGGTAGTTGTCTCTATACAGGCGCACTGCCGAGGCATGTGCGAGCAGGAGGTGGTGGGCGGCTACATACGGCTCCGTCGTAGAATCCCCTCTGGTGCAGTTCTCGCCGAAGGGATGGGAGCAGCGCTGCGGTGGAAGCCGGCCGTTGTCGAAGCCTCCGATGGTCTCTATGTTGGGCTCGTTGACGGTGACCCAGTGCTTCACCCTGTCACCGAAGCTCTTGAAGCAGGCTTCAGCATACGCTGTGTAATCGTCTCTGCAACAAGGCACATTCAGTTTTATGCAGAGCATCTGAAAACTCACATGAATCTTTTTTGCAGGTGTCGGAGATGGTGGCACAAAGGTTGCGGCACTCACATGAATCTGGGGCTGAGCAGTCCATTGTATTCGTCCTGAAGGGACTGAGGGAGGTCTAAATGGTAGATTGTGACATGAGGTTGTATGCCTGCAACACATGAACCAACATGTTGGCTGGTCTAGATCAGAAAGGAGGACATGTCCATGCATGTGTGATCTCTTATGCCACTACTACAGCATGTTTTATGCCATGTTCAGGTAGAGAAACCAATCTTTACCGTGACGTATCAATTCATCTATTAAGTTACTGTAGTACTCCAGGCCCTTCAGATTGATCTCTCCTCTTCCATCTATACACAGGTGGCATTCAGTATAAAAAAGTCAGAGATGTGCTAAGAGACACTGACTACAGAACTACTATATGGTTACCTGGTATAAGCCGGGGCCATGCAATGGAGAACCTGTACGCGTCTAAACCCATCTCATGCATAAGTCTTACATCATCCTAATGTCAAAAATGGATTGAAATAGTTTGATTGGTTAGCATCTGTCCCATTTGTGTTTTGCAGCTATTGAATTGTTAATGAATGATTGGGGCTGGTGATGATGAGTACTCCCTCCGCCCCATAATATAATAGTGTCAAAAAAACATCTTACATTATGAGACAGAGGAAGTAATTTTTTTTCTCCAAAAAAGGGGGGAATACCCCGGCCTCTTACTTACTCAGTTACCCGTCATCACAGATGGCTGTGTGCATCACGTGATGCACACAGCCATCTGTGATGACGAGTAACTGAGTAAGTAAATACATATGGTAATCTGAATTGACCTTGATGGGTGAAGGTGTCCCAGATGCTGGGCTTCCTTCCATCCTCTGCGGCCGCGCCTTCCACCTGACGTCGTCAAGGGTTTCAGCTCCTCACACGGCGCAGAACCAAGCGTACGTGTGATACGGATGAATATACAGTTCACCGCAAGACAGTACCTGGTAGGCCGAGGTGCCTGCGCCCAAGACGAACCCCTCAGGGAAGTCATGGCGGGTGAGCGCCGAGGCGTGTCTCGGCGCCAAGGCTGCGGCGGCGAAGAGGACGACGGCGACAACAACGGAGAAGGGAAAGACCATCGGCGTGAGCACCGCCATGGCTTTGGCGCCTCTGCACCGCCGTGTTGTTGACGCGGCCTTGTTGGGCGAGCTGCCGAGTGAGCTGGAGTGATACTGTCTACTACTCGGGCCACTCCTTTCTCTCCCCGCTTTCACGCAGACCACGCGGTTGGTGCATGCGGCGCTTTCGCGAGCCCTGTTCCTGCACGACCTGACGGCCCAACCTGAGGTGCCATGCCAGGGAGCAGATGATTCTCAAAATTGCCTCAAAAGAAAACAGATGATTCTCAAAAAACAAATGCCAGGGAGCAGACTCAAGGTGGCACTGCTGCAGATGTTACACCAATGAAATTTACACGGCTTCTTAATTTTTTTGAAACTTACACTCCTTTTTTTCTTTAATTAATTTACACCCCTTATGATTCATCATAAATGAAGGAACTGTACCACTCTACTAGTGCCTGCTGAAACTGCTACCTCTTGCAATTGCATGGGCACCTTTGAATGGATCCGATGAATCCAGGCAGCAAAACATTGCATTTTATTTTATTTTTTGCGAGAAAAAGCAAAACATTGCATGTTAGCGAGGCTGAATTGCATTAATGATGACGCATGTTGACAACTGCAAATCACTGTTCTTTTTTTTAGATCAAATCTCTGTTCATTCATAATGAGCACTCGCCCCTTTGCAGTTTACAAGGCTGCGCGTTCGAATACATGTTGACAGCTAAACGTTTCACGTAGAAATATACAGATAGAGCAGAGAATAAGAACAACAAAGCGGCACTAGCGCCATAGCCTGAACAACAACGAAAACCTGCGCAGGCCATGCTAAAAATGGAACAACACCGAATTCTCCTCCGGCAGTGTCCAGGAAGCCCACAGGTCATGCGGCGGCGTAGGCTTTCCCCGGCGATGACGCCGGCCGCAGCTCGCCGCCTTTGAGAAAGCCAGAGTACCAGTGGGCAGAGTTCCTCACGTATCTTGTCCTCCCCTCGCTGTTCATGTCGACGCCGCACAGACCGTAACGCGAACGGTAGCCGAAGAGGAACTCAAAACGTCGAGGAAAGACCACACAAAGTATCCCCGCACGTCCGATCCGTTCCTGCAGCCAGTACACAGCCCCTCTCTCTGTCAGAAGCTACTCCAGATCACAGTTGAACTCCATGTATATTTCAAAGAACCCATGAGTTTGACATTTCGTTCAGGAAATCTAAAAACACGATAATATCTGTAGGAAGATGAAGTGAGCTCACCTTATGGACAGATAGAGAACTTCCAGATAATCTTGCAGGAACTCTGATCTGCTGTCGTCCTCGTACTCGACCTTCCGCGGGAGTTCGGAGGCGTCTGCGTATCCTGCAACATCAAACAAAAGATTTTTCCATGCTGTTGATTTTGATTTTACAGAGGTCAGTATGTTTTGCATTTCAGTTCAAACCACCCTAACAGGTATTCATGGTGTCTGCTTATCTTCTGAAAGAAGGATAGCATATGCAGCGAGCAGTTTTTTTCTTTTTCTTTTCAGCTTACCGTTTTCATGGATCATGACTGGTGGATTCCCGTACTTGATTTTCAGGTGGTCCAGTAGCTTCCCTAGAGCCCAAGGAGCATACTCAAGGCGGCCCTGCATGTTTTATCAATATACAAATTACACACCTTATGGTTCAGAAGGAAAGGAAGAAAACTTCACTCATTTATGTATAAATACCTCTTGGATATCATCGAATGGATCTGACACAGGCAAGAAAATGGTGCATGTTAGTGAGGTTGAATTGCATCAGTGATGACGCATTTCTCAACAAAGATAGATGGGAACATCTAATAGTTATTAATCTACTTACTTGCGATGGCGTATGCGTCAGCATAGTAGTCTCTCTGCTCCAGATTGAAAGTGCTGCCGTCGGCTCGCGCCCGAACAACGAGGTAGTGATTGAGGCCGATGAAGTCGAATGCTCCGCGCAATTTATTAGACTGCTCCACTGTTAAATCCGGCAGCCGTGCTCCTGCCCTGCTCCTCATCACAGCAGGGTAGTCCCCATACAACAAAGGATGCATAAACCTGTCCAGAGATGGCATGAGTTCTTGCTGCTTGTACCCACAAAATTAGCATTTAAAATTCAATTATGATGCATTTCAACATAACCTAAGTACAAACCATCCAATGTGGAAGTCATTCATCCTCGTTGCAGCAGCTGCGTCCTGCGATGAATTGGTAGCCGGCTCATGCCACCAGCCCAAGAGAGTAATTCCTATCTGTCCTCTTTGAGTTGCCTATAGAGTGAGGATTGCATTGCATGGTCATGCTAATTACTAGTATCAGTCAACTACTGCATCTACTGATATGAGAGCTAGTACCTGGTACTTGGCTCTATAGAGGGACACTGCTGAGGCATGTGCAAGCAGGAGGTGGTGGGCGGCTATGTACGGCTCTGTCGTGGAATTCCCTCCAGTGCAGTTCACACCGAAGGGATGGGAGCAGCGCTGCGGTGGCAACACGCCACCGTCGAAGCCTCCAATGGTCTCTATGTTGGGCTCGTTGACCGTGACCCAGTGTTTCACCCTGTCCCCGAAGCTCTTGAAGCAGGCTTCAGCATACGCGGTGTAATCGTCTCTGCAACATAACACATTCAGTTTTATGCAGAGCGTCTGAAAACTCTGGATCTTCGTCTTAATTCAGCCGACTTGATTTGCGGGTGTCCGAGATGGTGCCCCAAAGGTTGTTGCACTCACATGAATCTGGGGCTGAGCAGTCCGTTGTATTCGTCCTGAAGGGATTGAGGGAGATCGAAATGGTAGATTGTGACATGAGGTTGTATGCCTGCAACACATGCCAGGAAATGTTGGTTGATCGAGATCAGACATCAGACTGAATTTCTCAAGCTTGCAACAAGGAAAAGAAAGGTTGCTGCTACTGCAACATGGTTACGTCAGTTTTAGATAGAGAAATCAATCTTTACCATGCCGTATCAATTCATCTATTAAGTTGTTGTAGTACTCCAAGCCCTTCGGATTGATCTCTCCTCTTCCATCTACATAAAGGTGGCTTCAGTATCAACAAAATACAGAGGTGCACTACTCAAGTACTATATGGTTATCCCCTTTTCCATCTACACAAGTGGCATTCAGTATAAAAAAATTCAGAGATGTACTACTCAACTACTACAAGGTTACCTGGTATAAGCCGGGGCCATGCGATGGAGAATCTGTACGCGTCTAAACCCATCTCATACATAAGTTTTACATCATCCTAATGTCAAAAAAGAAATTTAAATTGTTTGATTAGTCAGCATTCGCCCGCGTCCCATTTGCGTTTTATTTTCAAGTAAGTGGTGCTAGATCTTGACAATGACCTTATAATGGTGATACTGATTTGCTGAAATATCTGCGGTAGATTTATCATAGGAGTAACCTGCCATGCTCATCAGCACAATAATTCCAGAAATTAGATCCTGGAGGCCGCATCGCAAGATATATTTTGCAGGTGTTGAGTGAATTGCAAATGAATGAGCGATACTGGTATGATGAGTAATAGCACAAATCATATTTTGGAAATTGACCTTGATGGGTGAAGGTGTCCCAGATGCTGGGCTTCCTCCCATCTTCTGCAGCAGCCCCTTCCACCTAAAGCGTCAAAAATGTTACACACTTCCTTGTCCACAGCGTTATTTATGTTTTGAACCATGAAACTTTGCTCAACTTGCAACATAGAGACAGAGTGAAAGGTGGAAGCACGAGTACCTGGAAGGCCGAGGTGCCCGCGCCGAAGATGAACCCGTCAGGGAAGTCACGGCGGGTTAGCGCAGCGGTGTCTCTCGGCAAGGCAGCAAGGCAGAGGAGGAGGAGAACGAATAGCGGCGGCGCCATGATCACGGCGTGGAGCTGCAATGCCAGCCGCAGGTCGGCGCGCCATTTAAAAGGGGCGAGAGGGAGATGCAAAGGGAGGAAGAAGACTTGTGCGCCCAATTTAAAAGAGCTGCACCGCCGCACGAGTTGCTTGCAGGGATTTATCTAAGTTGTGGATGCCGCTTGGGTCGTTGAACTTCTTCAGGGACGTGGGCGCCTGATCCAGATTGTGCATAGTATATAAAATACAAAAACAATTAAGCAGCGAGATATTCAGAGTTGACGAAAGTATGATCGCATATATATTCACATGGATCATCGTCATTTTAAAATATACTACTGCGTAGTAATGAGCACGACACTATCAATTCCTATTCATTTTCAAATGCTCGCATGAAACGAGGGAGATGGATGCTAATGGTTGGTTAGTAGTACTTGGTAGTACGGGGGATTTGTTTAAGTTATTATCAATGTCAAATGTCAATTACCATGTGAAACAACATGGATCTTGCTGTATGCTGGTTGTAACCCCTGGAAACCA